TGAAATTTGTGGTATTTCTTTTCCTATGATGATTTCTATGTAACTTGTAAGACTATTGCCTCTTTTATAATTAAAAAAAAAACTATTTTTCTTGAGATATATATAGGTAGTGGGGTATTCTTAAGTCGGTTTTACATTAATCAAAATTAAGTCCATCACTTTTTGAACTAAACCAAGCATCAAAACACGCTTAGTATTTAGTTGAAAACTAAGCTTTTCTTAAAAAATAATTATAGTTAATTATTTGTGAGTAGTGGAGATTGAACTTTAGTTTTGATCAAATCAAGATAATCTCTTTACTTGTTACATTATATTTTTTAGTGGTAAAAATTTCAAACTATCATATGCTTTTTTAATCTAACACCATGGGTTAACAAAAGATAAGTTATTACCCCTACAAAACTATTAATAATCATTTATATGTCAAAAGTCTAAAAAATGATCCTCCGAGGCATGCGGATGCACGAGGGAAAATGTTGATTATACCAGATTAGGGTTAGCATTCGAAAAGGGGAAAAAAATCCTTATCATGGAACTAAAAAGGAAAATTCTTAATTTTTATTTTTATTACTTAATTTAGACGAATTTCAAGCAATTAAATCGGGATTGACCTGATCCGGTAATTCTAGTAATTCCCCAAAGTTTAACATATTTTGTTTTTGCTTACCCGCTGCGAAAATATTATTTTACCACAATAAGGATCACTATCCATGGGCCACATCCACTGGACACTTTTTTTACCTTCTTTTAGCCCATCACTCAATATCAATACCCGCAGGCCCAATATGCTAATCAAATAAACGACGCCGTTAACTCGTCGCTTCTATAAAACAGCTAAACACTGCAAACTAGGGTTTGTATCGCGAGGGTTTCACATCAGCTGCTTCAGTCTTCAGCCTCTAAGCCCCAGACTCGCGAAAATGGTACTCTCCTTCTTCTCTTTCTTTCTGCCTCTCCATATTTCTGTGTCTGTGTACTACACATGGGTCCTACGTATGACTAACGTCTGATGTTTGTTTTGCAGCCGTCACACAAGACCTTCAGGATCAAGAAGAAGCTGGCGAAGAAGATGAGGCAGAACAGGCCTATCCCTCAATGGATCCGCATGAGAACCGACAACACCATCAGGTACTAAATCATTTTTCTGTCTTTTCTTTTTTATGTTTTTCTTTTGTTGCCTTTTTAAGTGATACTGATTTTTAATGTTCTTGTTGTTGTGAAGGTACAATGCCAAGCGCAGGCACTGGCGCCGTACCAAGCTAGGGTTTTGAGCTGGGAGAAATGATTTGAAGTTTGAACTATATAAGTGCTTTCTAGTTTTAAATTTTAATGACTTAAATATCCAGAAGAATTGTTTAGATGTGATTTTGAATGGATTATTGTTTAATTTTGAGCTTGTTTTTATATTTCAAGAAATGGTTCAGACCGATTCAAGCTTAATGTCATGTCCTGCTATGTTTGTTTTGTGCTCTTTGTTTGTTGGGTTTGCTCGTGGAGCAACTGACCTTCTCTCTTTTATTTGTTCTTCTCGAGTGATTTTTCAGATTGTTGCGTTAGCTGTTAGGTCGTGAGGTTTCTAATATACTTTTTATTGCCTGGTTAAATCTACTTATGGGGGCTAGAGTAACGTGGTTAAATTTGGTGTTAATGTGCTTCGCTGTATTAAGTGTTTTGTTGATTGCTGGTGAAGTCTTTTAAACGAAGGAAGCAAAGGGTTACATGGTGGCATAACAGAGGGTCGCTGATGATGAGGAAATTTGTTAGATTATTTGTCAGTTTTAAAATATACAAGTTTGGATAATTGTAAAAATTGGGATAAGGGGTTTTTGGAAATGAGGTAATTATGGACTTCAAAAGTATTCCTTTGTTGTCGAGTAGGATTTGTGGAAGTAGATATAAATATATAATTCTTATTTTTATAGGTTGGAAATAATCTTGAGAATGCAGTTGTTTGAAGCCATTGTCTGATTTGTATTTACAGTAAGAATTTAGTGTCGTAATTATGCTATAGTGAGGTTAGTTCTATGGTTTTATCTGCAACCCCTTTCTTCGATTTTATTGTAATTTCTGTGTAGGCTAACTAAATTTTAAATACAGTACATGTATAATGACTTGAGTTATTGTAATATGGGTCCATTTCTGGTGTAGGAAAAAGAATTAGAAAGTAATTACTTAAGTCTACCGATAGAGGTTGAAGGAATTTTATGTTTTGCATTGAAGTATTACCATGAATCGGAGTGGTAGATTATAATGTTTTCTGAATCAGCTGTCAAAAGTTATTCAATTGATTGAGGCATAATATTTGCTGGCATGCCTTAGTTAGAAGCAAGTTGAAACTCTTTTTGGCAATTAGGAATCGACTCCAAGGTTGGGAAATAGGCCAAGAATGGTCTGATATGTGACTACATTAAATTAGGTAGTTAGTGCAAAGTCCTTTGTGAAATCTATTAAGACCATTTTGATACCTGGGTGATTAGTTGTAATAGCATTGACAGTACTGACTGATGGAAGTTGTCCACTATCATGTTGTTAGAAATTATGAAGGAAAGATTAATGGCTGTAATGTTACTGGAGAACTAATTTAGTGTGGTACTGCTGGAGCAATACTTGGCATCTGTTGTTTAAGAACAAGGTTTGGCTTGTAGAATAGTCAGAAAGGGAGTACTTGTATGTTCTCTCACTTGGAGATGTTTTTTTTTTTCTATGGAAAGTTGATAGAATGCTTGTTCATTTTTGTCATATTGTGGTCTATAACTAGTAGGTATCTGTGAAGACTGTTGCCTGCCTTAGCCTTTTTTTTTTTAACCGAATATTTTCGTCATTAGTTAATGTGGATGTTTACAGGGTCCTTTGTTCCTATTGCAACGGTGGAAGACCTCTTCCGTGGGTTTGGGACCATGCCTCGTTAATGTCCGCGTTGACTTGAAAGGGTATAGTGTGTGTTTCATGCTTTTTACAAAGGGATGGGAATAAAAGATGGTTGTTAATAATACATAATGAAATTCTTTTTCTCATGCAAGTTTTGCCTAAATGTGAATAATTCTGTTTGAACAAGCATTCTGCTCACTTGTGCTCCTTGTCTTTTTACATTGGGTATGATCGTTGTCGATAGACAAAGCAATTGAAGTTCTGTTTTTTATTTTTATATAATTGTTTTTATCAAGTTTCCATGTTCTTGCCTACCAAAACTGTAGATTCTCACGGAGGCTGAGTTGATAACGCTCCGCCAACCAATAGCATGGTAGAGGGGGTGTTCCGACTTCCTTTCATTTTGAGATAATCTTTTGTTGGTGCAGCGTTAATTTTTTTTTTAATTTTCATCAATATCTCAAATGTTATTTTTAGTAAATTTTACTTGCACCAAACGCCAATCTTATAATTTTTATTTGAGTTGTATCTAATTTGTTCTCTCCATAAAAAAATTAAAAAAATCATAATACTTCATATTTGTATGGAAATTAAAAGTAGACTTTATTACTAACCAGGAATTTAGCAAAATTTGATGCCACTCGAATTGAAGTACCTCATATTTTTCAGATTATCACGGTTTTCATATTGACTAACGTGGCCAACCATTTTTCCATGAGTGTGTAAAGTCGAAATAGTATTTTTCGTTTTCTATTTTTGTAAATACACGTAAGAAGTTATTTAATCAACATTCTAATTGAGGAATTCTAAAAAATAAAAAATAAAAAATCTTAGTTCTAAACGACATTCTTAGTGCCTATCCTAGGGATTTAATTTTTTATTTTATTCATAAAAAATATCATATCCATCACTCATTAAGAAATCACTATATAAATCTTTACCCGGTCTATACGTAACCCATACTAGTTTATCTTTTCATTTAATACCCATTAAATACCTATTAAATTTAATTTGTCAAAAATATTTATTTTAATTCCTATATTTTTTAAGAAAAAGTTCTTTTGATCTTTAAAATTTATTATTATTATTATTATTTTGCGTTTGGATAATTTATTTATAAATGTTTTTGGTCCTCAAAGTTTTTTCTTAAAAATATTTTCATCCTTAATTTTTAAATTTTATGCAATTCGATTTCAGTATGTTAATAGAAAAAAAAATCTAAATAAATTAATGAGTATCAATAGGATAAAGAATGAGTATTCATATCATAAAACCATATTAGTGGATATATATATATTTTTATCTTTATCTACTGTAATACCCATTGGGTATTTATTAGGCGAGTTAAAACGGTACCGTTTTATATCCGATCTATTACCTTCCCTAGCTTATCCCATATCATTTGAATCATAATTTGTTTTATTTTTATTAACACGACTCATCAATAATTTTGTAACACAAGTTTTCCATTGATTATAGCTTCGAGTTGAGAGCCATTAACCTTTTGGAAATTAGAAAGCTCCAAACTTTTTTATTCAAATAACCCATGCCCTTGAAGCTGGTAAAAAGAAAAAGAAAAAAAAAACAATGAGAATATTCTCTTCACAAGACCGTAATTTGCTGGATTAAAAACTAATTGTATAGTATTTGAGTGATATTTTGTTTGTAACCTAAATAAGTCCTAGTTTAAAACAATATTACCGTTTCTATTAATCCCATAAAACTCTGAACCTTTTTCTATAAATTTTTGACACGACATTAGAGACATTAGAGTGGTAATATTGACAACAACTGTTTTAAGGATTATTTTCATCTCTGCTATTCTTACCACCAGAAAAAGTGGAAACTTTGGCATGCAAACCCAAAGGCTAAACAAAGAAGACCGAATCACTCGCTTTCACTCCTTATTCATTGCAAGGAATTGGTTATAAAGCTTGGCTACCGTTCAAAAACAAATGCTTGCTGTCTTCTCAAGGACAACAAGCAAAACTTATTTCTCTCCCCCTCTGTTCTTTGTATCCTTTGATAGGCCAATGAAGGATATAGCTTAGGCCTATCGAAGGATCACAAAAACCGGAGTGAAGGTTGAAATTTTCTTGTTTTGATCTTCTTCTTCGGTTTCATCTTTCGCCATGGGTGACGTTTCTTTGGAACAGATCAAAAATGAGAACGTTGATCTTGTAAGCGTTTCTCTTCTTTTTATATTATATGTTGTTGCTTCTCATTTGGATTTGGCATGTTCATGTTTCTTTAATGAAATGCTGTGTTTCTGTTCGTGTAGGAGCGAATTCCTATTGAAGAGGTATTTGAGCAGCTAAAATGTACAAGAGAAGGGTTGAGCACCGCTCAAGGCGAGGAGAGGCTTAAGATCTTTGGCCCCAACAAGCTTGAGGAGAAAAAGGAGAGCAAATTCCTCAAGTTTTTGGGTTTCATGTGGAATCCTTTATCATGGGTCATGGAAGCAGCTGCCATTATGGCCATTGCTTTGGCCAATGGAGGAGGCAAGCCTCCGGATTGGCAAGACTTTGTCGGTATCGTTGTATTGCTCATAATCAACTCCACCATCAGCTTCATCGAGGAAAACAATGCAGGTAACGCTGCCGCCGCTCTGATGGCAGGTCTTGCCCCGAAAACCAAGGTACTTTTATTCTATTCTTAATCCATACCTTTTGCTTTCATCATAAGCTCATGTAGCATTGAATGTAACTCATTGTGTATAAAATTAAATCTGCAGGTTTTGAGAGATGGAAAATGGACAGAGCAAGATGCAGCAATTCTGGTACCAGGAGATATGATCAGTATCAAGTTGGGAGATATCGTCCCAGCTGATGCTCGTCTCATGGAAGGAGATCCACTCAAGATTGATCAATCTGCTCTGACTGGTGAATCCCTTCCAGTCACAAAGCTTCCTGGCTCCGGTGTTTTCTCAGGCTCAACCTGCAAGCAAGGTGAGATTGAGGCTGTTGTTATTGCCACTGGTGTTCATACCTTCTTTGGAAAGGCAGCTCACCTTGTTGACAGCACCAATAATGTTGGTCATTTCCAAAAGGTATTTGCTTGCTTTCATTTTGTTACATCGGATACAAGTTGGCCATTTAATCACACAAGATACAAATTGGTCATACGATAATTATATAATTGTTGCTTTTTGCACACTTCCTTTATCAGGTGTTAACAGCCATTGGTAACTTCTGTATCTGCTCAATTGCTATCGGTATGCTAGTTGAGATTGTAGTGATGTACCCAATCCAGCACAGGAGGTACAGAGAGGGTATCGATAACCTCTTGGTGCTTCTCATTGGAGGTATCCCAATTGCTATGCCTACAGTCTTGTCAGTGACAATGGCTATCGGGTCTCACCGTCTATCAGAGCAAGGTGCCATCACCAAGAGAATGACTGCCATTGAAGAAATGGCTGGAATGGATGTCCTGTGTAGTGACAAGACCGGAACTCTAACCCTCAACAAGCTTACCGTTGACAAGAACCTTATTGAGGTTAGTGAGCTAAGCCAAACCATATAGTTCTCAAGGAGATCTGCCCAACAAGATTTTGTAAGTCTTAAGGTTCAGTATCTCACTCTATGTTGGTAATTACAGGTTTTTATAAAGGACATGGACAAAGATACCCTCGTATTACTTGCTGCAAGGGCTTCCAGAGTTGAGAATCAGGATGCCATTGATGCTTCAATTGTTGGGATGTTGGGCGACCCCAAGGAGGTATATAATTTAATCCCCTCTCTTGTTTGACCCTTGTGGTTCTTGTTACTGCACTTTCGATATAAATTTCATGGAGTCATTGAAATGCGAAATTTATTTTGCTTTCTTGCATCTCTGTAGGCAAGAGCAGGAATCACTGAGGTGCATTTCTTGCCCTTCAACCCCGTGGAAAAGCGCACTGCAATCACTTATTATGATAACAATGGTGACTGGTTCAGAAGCAGCAAGGGGGCTCCAGAGCAGGTATGCATGCATTGATTGTACGTTTTATCTGAAGACTAGCCGTTATTTGCTAGTTCTAACTTTCTATTTATATGCCAGATTATCGAGCTCTGCCAACTCAAAGGGGAGACAAGGAAAAAGGCCCATGAAATCATTGACAACTTTGCTGAGCGTGGCCTTCGTTCCCTAGGAGTTGCTCGCCAGGTAGATTAATCCAAAAATTTTCTTGCTACTCATTTCATATGATTCCTTAGAATAAAGCAAGCTAGATGAACTTTCTAGCTGAAACATTATTTGTTCGATGGCATGTGTATTTTTTTTTGCTCCTGTTTATAGACAATTCCAGAGAAGAACAAGGAAAGTGAAGGAGCACCATGGGAGTTTGTGGGTCTCTTGCCTCTTTTCGACCCTCCAAGGCATGATAGTGCTGAGACTATCCGCCGAGCCCTTGACCTTGGTGTCAATGTTAAGATGATCACCGGAGACCAACTTGCTATCGGCAAAGAGACTGGCCGCAGGCTTGGGATGGGTACAAACATGTATCCGTCGTCATCTCTTCTTGGTAATAGCAAGGATGAGGGTATTTCTGGCATTCCAGTTGATGAGCTCATCGAGAAGGCTGATGGATTTGCTGGAGTCTTCCCTGGTAATGGAATTTTTTCATTTTAGCTTTATTCGGATATATACGTTTGAGTAGAGAATTGCTGCTAATTTAAGTATTTAACTGAAGTTAAACTTTGATACGCAGAACACAAGTATGAGATTGTTAAGAAGCTACAAGTGAGGAAGCACATTTGCGGTATGACAGGAGATGGTGTTAATGATGCCCCGGCATTGAAGAAGGCAGACATTGGTATTGCTGTGGCAGATGCAACTGATGCTGCGAGGGGTGCCTCGGATATTGTCTTGACAGAACCAGGATTGAGTGTTATTATCAGTGCTGTATTGACAAGCAGAGCCATCTTCCAGAGGATGAAGAACTACACAATCTATGCTGTTTCCATCACAATCCGTATCGTGTTGGGATTCTTGCTTGTTGCGCTCATTTGGAGGTTCGACTTCTCACCATTCATGGTCCTGATCATTGCTATTCTCAATGATGGAACCATCATGACCATCTCCAAAGATAGAGTCAAGCCATCTCCTGTGCCTGACTCATGGAAGCTCAAGGAAATTTTCGCCACAGGCGTTGTCCTTGGAACCTACATGGCAATCATGACCGTGGTGTTCTTCTGGCTTGCTCATGACACTGATTTCTTCTCTGTAAGTCAATCAAACCAAGCGTCTCGTATCGAAGATGTTAAGTTCGAAGACAAATTTTAACATTTTAATGCCTGCAGGATAAGTTTGGCGTGAGGTCAATCAGAAATAATACAGATGAGCTTACAGCAGCTCTTTACCTTCAAGTGAGCATCATCAGTCAAGCACTCATCTTTGTGACCAGGTCGAGGAGCTGGTCCTTTGTTGAACGCCCTGGTTTCTTGCTTGTCAGTGCCTTCATTGCTGCACAGTTGGTCAGTATTTGTTTCGTTTCCCTTCTTGTCTCAACTTCTATTATCCACTGTAAAATCTTCTTTATGAGTTGAAACTTGAAAGATCGCGATATGTTGCTTTAACTTTCAATTCTTTTCCAATGAAGGTGGCAACTCTCATTGCTGTGTATGCAAACTGGTCCTTTGCAAGAATCCTAGGCATTGGCTGGGGATGGGCAGGAATTATCTGGATCTTTAGCATTATCACCTACATCCCTCTCGATATCCTCAAGTTCATTATCCGCTATGCATTGACTGGGAAAGCCTGGGATAATCTGCTGCAAAACAAGGTTTCTAAACACTAAAAAAATCGACACTTCCTTGAATTCTTCTCTTTTCTTTCTTTTTTGCTAATTTCGTTACCTTTTTGCTTCTTTTAAAAATCAATTCAGACTGCTTTCACAACCAAGAAGGACTACGGAAAGGGTGAGAGGGAGGCTCAATGGGCTACTGCTCAACGTACTCTTCATGGTCTCCAGCCCCCAGAACCCATGTTCAATGAGAAGAGCACATACAGAGAGTTGAATGAGCTTGCTGAGCAGGCTAAGAAGCGTGCCGAAGTAGCAAGGTGAGGAACTTATGCTCCGTTTATTTGGTGAAAAACAACTTCTATAGGAAAATCGATTCTTGAAGAAGTTATTTTTTAGGATATTGTTTTTCAAAAAAATATTTTCTACCGTTTGACAATTACATGAAAAAGCTATAGGAAAATATATTTCAACGTTTGTTTGATACAAAAATTTAAATTTCAAAAACATTATGTGATTGTTACCTCATCTTGCTACTTCGGCAAGCTAAGAAGCATGCGGAAGTAGCAAGGTGAGGTACTTAGGCTCGTTTGTTTGACGAAAAACAACTTTTATAAGAAAATCAATTCTCGAAGAAGCTATTTTCTAGAAAACTATTTTTCAAAAAATATTTTCCGTCGTTTGGCAATTACATAAAAAAGCTGCTGAAAAATATATTTTAGCGTTTATTTGATATAAAAAATTAAAATACAAAAATAGTATGTGATTGTTACATTAATAAGTTTTGAGAAAAAAACTTCGAAAATACATATTTACAATTTCACAATATAAGATACATTTAAAAAAAATTAATAAATTTTTATAAATACTGATTTTAAAACTTTAATTCAAAAAATAAAATGTACTTTTTTAACCATCAAACCAATTCATCAAAATTACTTGAGATAAAATCAAGTCAATATTCATATTTAGTAAAAAAAATAAATTCTAAGAATCCTAGCATTGTTATTTTGGTAACTCAATTAAGAATTCTTTTTTTTTTTTTTTTGGGAAATTGAACTGATAATTTAGTCTAAAAAATAGTTTTATAAATTATTAGTTATCATTTGTAGATAATTATTCATTTGGTTTCAAAAGATTAATGTTAGAATAATTTGTAACCAATTATTTACTACAATTACCAACAAAATTTTACCACTCGTTTAAAATTACAAATTATTGATTTAGTTGCAAATGAATAGTATTGAAAAAATAATATATTAATTAATTAATTTTAATTTTTTTTACAAAAAATTGTAGTCTTGTAATAATCATTTTCAATTATTTAAGTATAGTTTAGGTGGTGTTTAAGATAATAGTAAAAAAATAGAGATAAATTATTGAAATATTTATTATAAAAAATAATTTTAAGGTGTAAAAATGATTTTTAAGAATATTTAATGTATCTATAAATAAAAAAAATCAAATATTAGTAGAAATAGAAAAAAATTAATAATAATTGATAAGGAATAATTAAAAATTAATTTGATATATTTTAAATAAAAAGAAGATGAAAATTTTTTTAAAAAAATATATCGAGAGAGAGAGATAAATAACGCGAGAGCGAGACGAGTTCGTAGGAAGAAAAATGTTTTTCTCTTTTTTAACTGGAAAAATATTTTTCCAAAAACACTATCATTTTTCATTGACAGAAAATCATTTTCTATTAACTATTTTTCTAAACGCGGTACAAACAGAAAAAATGAGAAAAACAAATTATTGAAACTTATTTTCTCCCAAATAAACATAGCATTAGCCTACATATGCAACAACAAAGGTCATTTTCCTAGACAGATGCAAATACTAGAACTTAACCTTCTGAAAGGGCAGGCTACCTTAAACTTGCTATAACAACAGGACAACCACTAGGATTTAAGCTAGCTGATGACAGTCATTATATTTAGTCATTTGTCCCCAAATTTCTTTCGTTGAAGGCTACAATGCTTAATGAATTGGGGCTCATTTCGCAGGCTCAGAGAGCTTCACACATTGAAGGGACATGTTGACTCAGTGGTTAAGATGAAGGGGCTTGACATCGAGACAATCCAACAACACTACACAGTCTAAAGATGCTAAAGATTTGTAGAAAGAGGCATATGCAAATATGATAGAGACAGAGTTCAGAGAGAACAAACGAGAAAACTAATGTCAGGGCTGCGTTTTCCCGTTCTACATTTCATTCATTTATTTATTTATTTTTCAAATTATAGGAGGAAAATTTGAAAGCAGTGAAGAGATCAAGGGGCTAATATACAACATATAATATTACAGTATACGATATCTGTTCATTCTCTTTCTTTCCTTCCCTTTTACAAGTTTTGGTTGGCCAGTTTGAATAGAAGATTGATTGATGGGTTCAAAACCCTAACAACCAAGTTTCCTTCAGCCATGCCTCTCTCACACATTTTGGTCTCATAGATTCTTTTTCTTTGCTGTTGTCAAAAACAGTATGTGAAGTAATATTCTAGCATGCTAGAGATGGTGGGTTCATGAGCTTCATCTCATGTTTCATACATATAGCTTGTCAAAATCAGTGAAGCAAATAAGCAATTGAATGAATCAAATCTTTTTTTTGGTTTTTATGATTAAGATGTTTCTAATCAACTTTCTTATACTAAAATTAAATTGTTCTAGAATGAATCAAATCTCAGAGAAGTGAATTTTGGTGACATACTCACAAATATTCAAAATAAAACATGCCCAGCACCAACTCTAATCTGTTCATTTTGGGTTTGGCATTCTCAAAACCCAGATAAAGAACAAATACCCATAAAATTCACACAAAGCTTCGTTTTCCTTTTTCTCTCAAAATTTCCATTTTTTAACGGTTAATCTAACGCCACGTAGCACCCATTAGTTTATCTCCCGCCAAAATCCTTTTTGCCGCCAATAGCATTTCTAATAAACATAAATTATACCCACAAAATCACATAATTACCACCAAAAACCCCCCAAAACACAAACTCTTCTCTTCTTTTTCCTTCTCTCTGCAATTCTTTTGTGGGCATCAATGGCGACTCAAAAACTGACAGACTACGAGAAAAAGAGACTCGAAAACATTCGAAGAAACGATGAAATGATGGCTGCCCTTCAAATCCACTCTAAAGTCTCTCTACTTTCTAATGCCACCAAACGCCAAAGGTACCTCTCTCTATCTCTCTCTCTCATTTTTAATGAACAGCCATCTTTTTTAAAAAAAAAACTTTTTTAGAGATACAGAAAATGGCTTTCTGGGTTTCATGATTTAAGAAATGGGTATCTGTATTTTGTGTTTTAATGGCAGAGATAGGTCAGAAAAGACATATAAAGTTAGTTCCGAGAAGAAACCCAAAAAAAACGAGACTCCAATTGTTATCAGACGATCTTTGCGTGCGCGAGGAATGCCGCCCGTTTCTAATGGTTTAGATGCTGATTCTAATGAGGATTCTAATAAAACAACTCTTAATAAGACTTCAATTAGTCCAGAAAAGCCTTCTCCACGTGTTTTGGGTCCTCTTAAAATGAGGGATTTTTATGAGGGAAGTGTGTCTGATAGAGCATTTATAGACACACTTTTGTCTTTTGATAAGAAACCCAAATTGGGTGTTAGACTTGAAGAGGAGTTTGATTGTTTTAAGGTTGTAAAAGAGGAAGGAAATGATGGCGCTTTGTGCAATTCGGCTAAGAGGAAGGTTAAAAGTGAGAAATTGGATTGTGGGATTAAGTTAGAGAAGAGGGAATTTGAGGGTTGTTTTGATTTGGGATCGATGAGTTTGGAACCGGAGAATATTGCAAGGATTATGCCTGGGAGGATAATGACAGTGGGGTTTTTGCCGCGGAATGATGTAAACATGGTTGCAGCTGGGGATAAGTTTGGCAATGTTGCATTTTGGAATGTGGATAGTAAAGGGGAGGGAGGTGATGGGATATATTTGTATCGCCCACATAGTGGCCCAATTTCTGGGATTTTGTTCCAGCAGTCTTGTTTATCCAAGGTACTTTTGATCTGAAATTCCCAGTACCTACTTTTCATTTCTTTGTTAATTTTGAAATGTGGTTGTATCATCGGTACATTTATAGTTTGTTACAGTTTGTCAAAGAAGTTTTATATGCGATTAGGAATTTGCTTGAACATGTCGATGTGATAGACATCGATTAAGCTATACTAAAAAATGAGTGTTCAGTAAATTTAATATACCCTCTGTAAGTTCGTAATCGTTAGTGCTGGCAGTGTGATTAGTGAAATTGTATGCATTTTCGTAAAGTTCTTGATATATGTGAAGAGCTGAAATATGTGACTGATATTGAGTTAACATTTAAGTTTCATAGATTTGGGCATCATTTATTTGTTAAAATGAATTGCAGATCTTCACCAGCTGCTATAATGGATATCTCCGCTTAATGGATGCTGAAAAGGAAGTATTTGATCTGGTACACTCCTGTGATGATACTATATTTTCTCTTTCTCAACATCCAAATGATGTGAAGAGCTTATATTTTGGCAAGGGTCATGGAGGATTGAGTGTCTGGGATGATAGAACAGGAAGGGTTTCATCCCAATGGACTCTGCATGAAGACAGGATCAACACCATAGATTTCAATTCACAAAACCCTAACATTATGGCTACTAGTTCCTCAGATGCAACTGTTTGTCTTTGGGACTTGAGAATAGTGAATGCTGGTAAACCCAAAAGTTTAAAGACAGTAAAACATAAGAGGGCTGTGCATTCTGCTTACTTCTCACCCTCTGGAAGCTCGCTTGCAAGCACAAGGTACATATCGCCGTTCAAACCACCATTAAACTTTGATTTTTTCAGTATGCAATCTGCTAATTTTATGGACATGACGAATGAGTGGTTGGCTTTATGATACTGCAGTGTTCTATCAAGCATATAATTTTATAACTGAAAATAAAATAATAATTCACAGTTGGCCAATAACTGCATCCATTCTATAGAAACATCAATACTTGGCTTAATCACTGTCTGAACAAGCTTCTCAACGTATGCATTATAAACAGATAGCAACTGGAATGGATGTCTTCACTTTTGCTCTGTGGTATAAATTCAGTGCGCTTCTTAATGATTGTCTTATCCTTTGCTTTCTTTAATATGGAGAATTGGTTTTGAGGAATGCTAAACATCATGCTTCAAAATTGTATTTGTTAGACTTCTCTAAAATTTCATGGCATACAACATTTAGCTTGCAGCAATCATTTGGTTTTGTCTCAAAATATTTTTTATATATGCTATAATTGATAATGGTGGACCTTAACATTGCCAGATGTAATTGATATTGATTTTTTATTTTTTCTGTTTCTTTTCAATAGTTTTGATGACACGGTTGGTATACTAAGTGGAGTTAATTTCGAGGATACTGCTATGGTGTGCCATTTTAATCAGACAGGTCGATGGATTTCTTCTTTCAGGTATGGTTTTGGCCAACTTGACAAGTGCTAGTTTTTTTTTTATTTCACGAAGTAAATCTTTTCTTAGCGATATATGATGCTCGGGGTTTGGACAAATTTCTTTTCCTTTTTTTTTTTTTAAGAAATTTTGTTTCCTACGTAATTAGTTCAGAGCTTGTTCGGATTTTTATTTTTTGAATTTGCCGTATCAAAATTAGAAACTTCTGCCTAGGCTTTGATCAGGATAATCTATTAGAAAGGTTCTGAATGTAGTGCAAATATATTGCTTGTCCTTTACTACATCCATCCAAAATTAGTGTGCTCATCTGCGTTGGTTTATGATCCATTCACCTCCCAAACCACCTCCATCTCAAGCTTCCCTGGAGCTTGACCACCATTCCCATCACGCCTAATGAGGATTCTCCTTTGCAAAAACATGTCAATTAAGTGGTTCAAATCCTTATTTGTACTTCCAATTTTTCTGGACCAAAGTGTCGAAGACTATCACTAATAGGCAAGTCCAATAGGCGTTATTTCAAAATTAAGAGACTGCAGAAGGTTATGTATGACTATGAAAACAGTAATGATTCCTTACAGCTTCTGTCTTGCTTTTTTCTGGGACCAGAGCAACTTGGGGTTGGGATGATTCATTTGTCTTCATCGGCAATATGAAAAGAGGAGTTGATGTCATTTCACCAGCACGAAGACGAGTCATTACGACTCTAGAGAGTCCCCACATGACTGCTATTCAATGCAGATTTCATGCACATCCTTGCAAGGTTGGGATGCTAGCGGGAGCAACCAGTGGAGGCCAGATTTACATTTGGACATCAAGCTAGGAAGAACTAAATATTTCCTGTATAATTTGTGTACCTGTCAATTTTTAGCCTGGGTGAACAACAAATCTTTTGCGTATTGTAGTTTTGCAGGATTTAAGCTACATATACAAAATGACAAAGACTGCTTTTAGAGTTATGAAAAGATGTACTGCCTTGCCTGCTTTGGAGCCATTAATGCTTGTTCTATTCTGAGAGTTAATAGGAGTTTTTCCTGAACTAGTAAATTGGAGGTTCTGTTTTCCATTGCATCATCAACTTCATGAGCGGTGACATAATTGCCCCTTCATTTCTATGGTTGGATACCTCTGAAGTGGCAATGCAGAGAGCCAGTTAGGTGAATTTAGTAATGCAATCGAAAGTCGAAACTGACCACCGGTAATGGATAGAGAATAGAATGCATGTTGTAAGCTACGATTTCCAAGGACATGCAGGCTAGCTTATGTAAGTTACCTGCTGTCGACCTCTTATCCGGAGGGTTGAAAGGTTCGTTGAAGTCCAGATTCCATGATCCATCTGCGAAAATACTATTTTGGAATGGACAAAGTAACAGAAGAACTGAAGAAAATCATAGCAAGGATGAAGAGAGTCATGGATTACTGAACCAAAACATGGGAATTCTGTTTAATTATCGATTTATATTCCTCCAAGCAGTTAGTTCAGATGGGATCAATTGTTCATTACAAGAAATAACAGCCTGCGCCATCAAATTTCCAAGCCAAGCATGATACAACAAACCTCTTGAACCAAGTCCTCCAAATAACCAGTATTTACAAGTAAAATCCTCTCCTACAAAATCATTGACACGGCCCAAAAGTGGAAGTGATCCATGGGCAGTTAGTGGTGGCATTGCTCTCAAACCTGCCCTTGCTTTCGTGAAAGTCCAATCCTTTATTGCTGGATAAAAGGCTGATACCTTTGGCAGAAGCTCTTGAAGAGCTCTCGAAGCTTCATCTGCTGAAACATTTGGAGATGAATTCCTTGATTTCCAATCCCATGTTGAGCCCATATATAAACTTTGGCTTCCCTGGACGGCAAGCCATGCATCTGATAATATTGAAGGGGCATAATCTGGATATTCTTCCCTGAAACAGTGATCTACTCGATGAGTTTTGCCAACAAGCGAAACAATTCCCCCTCCCCATCCTACGTTCCATGCCTCAACCCTAAATAACCCTGTACTTCCAGGACATTTGTCTTAGCAACCACTACTTTGAATGTACTTGCAATATCTATCCCAAAATCCTTTAAGATCCTCCATACATGCATTAGGTAACACTAGGCCGTCTTGTTGCCAACTGAATCCAGTTTGAATTAAGCTACTTTGGTATTTGAAAATCTTGCTTATTACAGACTTATTCACAAGGATCTAGACTCTAAAACTCTGATTCCATTTCTGAAATTGAAATCTGAAGACTCCAGTTATAGTAGACCAAAAACAGCATCATTACTAGTTGCACAAGAATGTTCGTGCTGCATTCATATCCTAGCGAACCTTAAACAAATAAAGAAATTCATTCCTATAAGGTGTCCCAAAGCCCAGCTTTTAGACCTGCTGGCTTGATAGTGCAAGGCAGAGGCAGAACTTAAGCTTTACCTTATATCACCAGGCAACTGCAGGTGGGCAATTACACCTCTGCATGTCCTCAAAGGAAGCCTCCCAGAGAGCTCCGGTAGCATGTCTGCTTTGGCACCTAGACAGATTATCACTGCATCATATTCACCTACATAAAATGTTAAGACAAATTAGCAATAATGGTAGAAACTAAAGAAGATTTAAGCATGCCAAAACATCATGTGAGGCAGCTGAATGAGTTAAACATCCACATTCACATCTGCTAGTTAAATTTACTTTCCGGATAAATCCAGTGCATGAGAAAACTTGTTGAAGTATAAAGGGACAACAACAACCAAGCCTCAATCCCAAACTAGTTGGGGTCGGCTATACGGATCCTTCAATGCCATTCCGCAAGAAAGTATATCAAATCTGCCTCAATGTCGAGAGGTTTTATACCCTTTGTTACCACTTCAAAGCATATCAAAGGAATATCATCATTTCAAAAGGAAAGGAACACAATTCTATCATACCAAGTCTTGTTGAATATATCAAGATATCTTACAGCTCTGGATCAAGCTATTCAGACAAAACAGAAAAATCCCAATCAACTAGACAGCTAACTAATTCTCAAAAAGAAGAAGAAAAAAAAAAAAAAAAAAAGCACAGCAGCTAGAGTAAGAAGCTACATAATTCTTTTTTCCCTTTTGACTTGGTACCAAATTCAAGAACATGGCGCATTACATACAACCGATGTGGACAAAAACCAGAAAATCCAAGATCCAAACTGCAGCAGGTTTCAATTATCCTCACACATTCTAGATAGAAAAGACCTAATATAGTAAGTGAGATCACCTTCAAATTCAAGGAGGTTCCGGACTGATTTCTTGTGCAAACATAGCTCTTTTTTTCCATAGCTAAAATTGGATGATTCCTTCACTACATTTTGACATGCTAAGAAGAGTGCCTAGTAAAATAAATGAAGAAAGAAGAAAACATTGTTAAAAAAAAACGAACTATTCAGAGTAACACATACAATACAGTGGAATTGTTGTTCAGACCTGAAGATAGCGCAGAGGATTGACATTTACAGCTTCAGGCATATAAAAGGCTGAGTTAAGAGGTACATGTATATTTGGTACAAGCTTTTGGGCAGTGTCCTCATCAATGATCTCAATTGTGCAACTGGCATCGCAATGCTCAGAATTCTACTTGCAAAACACAGATAATACAGACACACATCACTCTAACCTTCACATAAAATGTTCATGATAAAACTCATTGAAGCTGCAACAAAGAGGTCTCGAGAATTACATCGGTCAATACATTCAAATTCTTTGAGTTTACTGCCGGTCTAATGATGCCCCTGAAGTGGGTAGATTGACATCAGAAAGGGCAAAAGAATCCATAATAGCTAACAAATGCCAAGAATAAGCTGAAAGCAGATATCCAAAAATGAGAAATACGATCAATTTTGTAAATCCCTAAAGCAAAAACATAAGAAAAGTTTCTGACTCGGCATTATCTTTTTCTGGCAAAGCAACTTGATTGGCGATCCACATTACAAAAGAAAATTGAAACGATTTTCCAAACTCAAAGAAAAAGCATAAAAAATTCCACAAATCAAAATCATTCAAAACAGTATTATAAAACTAGTAAACCTCTTCATTGCGCCATAGATTTGCATAATTTAGTCCAAAACAGTACAATAATTACATTAAAAATAAGAAAGGAGAAAAACCTTCCCCTGACAATAAAACCATCATCAAAATCATTCAGCCCCGACAGTCCAGCTGCCATCTCCGCGACATTTAAAAGCATTAAACTTTCTTTCCAACACTCAGCTCCTCTCCAAAGTAGTTTAGCTGACAATAAGCATAGTTCATTTTGAATACAAACAACAAAATAACTAATGAAAATTAAAACTCAAAATGATGATTTAGAGAAACAAAAGAAAGATTATTTAAAAAAATAAAAAAGAGAGAAATGAAGAGTTACCTTTAGGAGAATAAGGGTGTAAGAGACCACCAGAAACACCAGAAGCACCTCCTCCTATACCCATGTCATCATATATGTCTATTCTCATTTCCTCCTCTTTTGAACTCTTCTGCATTTTCAATCATTCTTTTTTTTTCTTTTTACCACAAAATAATACAGCGAGAAATGAGAGAGATAAAGTAGAGTACTGTACCTTCAGCAAATGCCAAGTAACAGAGAGACCAGCAAAGCCAGCACCAAGCACTGCGTATCTCAGGGGACGTGAAGAGAAGGAGGAAATAGAACGTGGAGAAGTTAATTTACCCAAGCGACCATGGCCGGACGGAGTTAAAGTATCATAAAGAAGCATCGTTTTCTTGCAGGGCAGACTGCAGAGGGAGAAGAAGGGAACAGGAGAGGCTTCAAGCCTTCAGCTGATGATTACTTTGGGGTTCGGTTTTGTTTTCTGTTTTCGTTTTGGGTAACCTCGTATTAGTCACCAATCAATAATACTTTTTTCAATTAGATCCTAAATTATCCAAGAATTATCAATTGGGTCCTTATTTCAAGTTTTCTCTCAACTGGATCCTCATTTCCCAATCCGTATTTATCAGAGGCGAGATGTGGAAAAGAATTTTCTCCCGATTCCTCCCCATCACCACACACACATACACATATTTGCAATCATAGTATAATATTGAAGGAGCTAATACACAATGTAAACATAAATATTAACCTCAAATAAATATTGTACTTTACAAAACGTCACCATATAGTAAAATATAAATAACAAAAAAAAAAAAAAAACGAAATTTGCTTGACGAAGACCAAATATATACAATGGAGTTTTGAGTTTTCCAAGAGACTAGGCACGATCCTATTGGAACGTCAGCAATTAAATAACCAAATGAATATAATCAATTTGTTTCAATCACAAATTGAAAGGAAAATGATGAGATCTGTACTAAAAATCATATTAAAAACTAGTTCTAGTGACTAATGCTATGATAATTGAAAAAGATAAATTTTATTGATTTGTTCAATTGATTTTAATGTGTGTTTGATACAAATAATTCATTACATATTTATAATGGTAAAAAATAATCGTTTTCAGCCATAAAAAATAACCATTGGGAACAATTAAATACAAGCCTTTAGCCTATTTAACATGTGATAAATTTATTATTTTGTCATCTATTCAACACATAACTTCCTATCTTTTCTTGAAAGATACATGCTCACCTTGCTTGATCTCATTTGGCTATGTTTCGTCAAAAATAAATAAATAAATCAATTCAATCATTGCCACACTCTTCTTACTTATATAAGGCAAACCCTTTAACTAGTTTTAAGGTCTCAACACAATGTCTATTAGTCTAATCAAATTTAATTTCATTTGATACTTGAAAACATTATTTTGTTTAATTCAAAGATGTTATTTCTTATTTAATTTTAAGGTCTCGATAGATCTTCATCCAATCTTCATTTTTGTGTTAGGAGAAAATGCCTTATATATACAAACTTTCATTTGGTCGATTTTGATAGATCCTCATTTAGACGATAAATTTTTGTTGTTCAACCATTCATGAGAAGTTAATCATATTTGTTAATGGCATGATGACATTGAGGTCTCCTAGATATATTGGGAAACTAATTGATTAAAATTATGCATTGAGGACCATTGGGAAAAGAGTTACAAGTAGGGGGATTGCTTTGAGGTTATTCGGTTCTTTTTTTATTGTAGTTTCTAAAATTTTGGGAATAAAAGAAGCAAATGTGTTTGACATTATTTCTCTTTTTCTTTTTTTAAGAAAAAAAATACACATTGTTGAAATTGTGAAATCATAAAAATACCGTTTCTAAGGGTTTGAAAACACTTTGGCATCATTGTGTGAGAGAAATTTTATAGTACACAAAGAGTACCTAATGACATGTACATAATTACTCCATGAACCCACTTGGAGGAAAGAGATAGACACATAAAAATGAGATAGAAACATAAAAGAGAAAATTAAAAAAAAATGAGCGAACGTGAAAATTTTATATCACTTTTGGTGGATTTGGATGTAATTTTATGTGTTTATCTCTCTCATTCAAGTGGATATATGAAGTAACTAGTGACATATATAGTAGTTTTTATTAGAGTAGCTCCGGAACCAAATTCTTCATCCACAATGGTGAATAATCATAAAATCAAAGCATTGGAGGAGCACAATAGTAAACATGATGAATAGATTCAAGGATTGTGTCAAGAGTTCTAAAAAAATATAAAAAAAATTACAAAGTTAGGCACAACAATCTCAACATCAATTTGAAGCTTTAATGGCAATGATCGGTATAACAATATTAGAAAAGGAGCCAAATAAAGAGAATCAATCCTCTTCGTTCTTCTTAAGAAAAAGCGAGATCTTGTTCTAAAACTATTTCATCATGGTGAGCCTATTCTTACTCATGGTTTATTAAAATTTGGTTATAATACAGCATACTTAAAGTTGATTTACAATTGTTTGGAGGTGGTAATCCACTTTGTTGGATTTGAAAATGTAAAAAAGTTTTTTAAAATGAAATTTATACTAGTTCATCAATAAATGGAAAATGCCTTCATGTATTTGGAGGGAAATGCAAAGATATGGTTTAAAGGATTTGTGATGGAGAGTGGCTCGAGTAATTGAAAAGAATTTATAAGAGCAATTTGTAGACATTTTGACAATAAAAGTGATATTGTTAAACGGTTCAATAAAGATAGATGGGTATATTAAGAAGTTTGAGGAACTAAAATCATTGACGATTGCAACTAATCCCTACTTGCTCGAATCATATTTTTTTCTACCTTTATTACTAGGCTTAAAAAAGATAATTAAACTCATTCTTAAAATCTCAAACTTACCGAGCTTGATTCAAGTTTTTGACCAAGCAAAATGGAAAAAAGAATCAATCATTATCATGGCTATCCAAAAATCTACCAAAAACCTCTTTTTCATACAATATCTAATTGTATTTACTAGAATCAATACCACAACCCTCACACCATAACAAAAATCAACCAAAATACAGACTAACAATGAGAAAGTTCCTAGAATTACAAAAAGTTATGGTTATACCTTACCCGATCATAAAGACATTTCTAGCGTAGTTTAAAGGCATCACAATCCTTTTTAGGAGCTAAAAACTCTAGTCATTCTTCTAAACCAGGGTTATTACCTTGTCCGGATATAAAGACATACCTTCCTCAAGTCTAAAGGCACTCCAATCATTATAAAAAAAAAAAAAAAAAAGAAACAAGATGAAGGATAATCTTCATCCATTTTAAAATACACAATCAGTAACTTGTAAAAATCCAAAACTTATGGTATATACCTCGTCCAAGTCTAAAGGCACATGTTGCCCAAGTATAAAAAAAAGGCACAATAAATCTTTAGTAGAGTTCAAAGACCTTATGTTTCCCTAAAAAATTTTCTTAGAAAAGCATCGATGGTTTCTAATTGATCAAGATGTTCATCTCATTCAAGCATAGAAGTATCCTGGTCAATTTGAAAAAAAAAACGGTCGATATCCTATCAAAAATACAAATGACTACCCAAAAGGAGCTAGGACTCCAACGGATCATGATTTTTATCTTGATTGGGTCTAGAGGCATTCCTCACTCAATTTTAAAGACATCACGACCCTCTCCATGAGTAAGATGACACACTTTAAAAGTATATCTCATATAGAAGAGCAAAGTCACAATAGTATAGCTCAAAATTAGTTTAACTTTCTAAAAGATCAAACAACTCTAAAAGAGATAAAAGGATTGTGAATTTCATTCAAAAAAGAAAAAGACATTGAAAAAAGAAAGAAATAAGTTGTCATTAATCTCTAAAAATAGCTATAGTTAACCCTATAAGATCAAGATCAATGGTCATCAAAATTAAAAGACTTAATTTATCTTCCCAATGTCAACAATATTTTCCTAAAAACTTCAATAACACCTTTATGTACTTTTTAGAGAGAAGAATGAAGGAAAAAAAACAAGATTAACATTAGCTTTAAAGATTTCTTCTAGGCCATAATTGTCAATCTAGCCCTCATACCTTCTACCTTAGAGTACTTAATCCTAAAGTAACGAGAGGAACCCATAGCACTAGGTAGTCCTTAAGCATCGAAGGACCCATAAATCTAAAAGGTTCTTCGAGTAACAAAGAGATCGACAACAACCTCGTTATTTGGATGCCTTAAGGTTGAACTCGTTTTCTCCAAATAGAGAAGAATCCTCTATACCCAGTTGATGGACAACCATTAAAGTAAAAGCGAGTGATACCTATTAAAGGAGGAGTAGCTTAGGCCACGGGTTTGAGTATAGAAAAAGGGCATAAACCTTCATCGTGGCACCCCCAAGCACCCTTGCCGATTACCCGAACGGCGTGATCGGGTACACCACGGTTTAGAGATCAAAGTCTCAAATTTAATCCCATACACATACCCAATGTACCAAATATCATTACAAAAATTACAAAATGTAATTTATAAGCAAAGGTAGTTCCTATAATTTTTTTTTTCGCGTCACACATGAGCCTTTTTCGGGAGGAACCAACGGCTTCGGTATCGGCATTAGTATCACCTTTACCTATTAAGACATGAAATAAACACAGAGTGAGCCAAAGCTCGGTAAGTAGGTTGATGCACGTGATATGCAATGATTTTCCGACTTCCCCCACTTCGACTCATCAATTTTTATTTCCGGGTACCTTGGGTATTAGCAAGTCCGCTCTATATTTAATCCGAGTGAACCGCGACTCACCTTCGGCTACAATGAAATTATCCCTCGTTGTAGTCACTATTAGCGGGAATCTATATTCTAACAATGTAGGCACACGGCTTAGAGTATGCACACAACTGGATCGCTAATACCCCTTTTATTCGGTAGGTTACCAAACATATCCAATTTTCATTCGATTCGGTTACCAAACCTCATCATTTTTGACTACATGGTTTTTCTCAATTTAATCCATTCCCATATGCATATGATGCACGTGATGTATCATGAATCACATTCCACCAAGTCATGGGTACTAAACTCATCGATTCCATACCATTGAGTTCATACAAGGAATTTAAGACTCGTCTAATAGGGTTAATCCATTTCATGTATCATGAACCACATTTCATATCTCATAGGCACCAAACTATTTATGTCCATATAATTTTAGAAATTCAATTCACACTTGGGTCTTTATCAATATTTTTATGGTATGATCCAACTTAACCATTTTAGTACCAAGGGCCCACTAAGTGTTCTTAGGATATCCAAGTCCATTTATTCTCATCCAAACTCATTTTGTTTTAGTCGAAGCTCATTTATTTTTAATCCAAGCCCAAGTTCATTTGTTT